AAAAAACAAAAAAGACAGCACACTGGTCTTGATTCCCAAGGTACCCAGGCAGCTGAGGATAAACTTTAAAGAAGCAATCACTAGTATTTATGGGCAAAATCAGTACTGGCAGTTGCATGAAACAGTGTGTGGCTTTGAAATGAAAGATGAGCTAACCTAATGACCAAACGGCTCCTTCCAAGTCTTTCTAGATTTGGAAAGTGCAGCTAGCTCAGGGAGGACCAGCTACATGACAGGCTAACACTGGAACAGGGATTTTATTAAGTGAGGACAAACATCAAGAAAGACAAAACGATGCCTAAAAAGAAAAGATCCTTTTACAAAATGGCTAGAAACAGTCTCACTAGAAATTAATGCTCTTTCACAGGAGAAAGTTGCGGGTGATTCTTGCTTCATCGATGCCAAATAGGAATGTCTATTGTAAGAGTTTTGCGGTTAAGCAGATCAGGCAATAAAGAGAGGTCAATGGGTAAAAGCACATGTTTTTGTTTATTAGAAGGGAGATGTTTCCAATCTAAGGTGCAGGGAAGGGAATCAGTGCAGAAGAAGAGAGCAGAGAGACCCATCAGAGGAGAGAATGGTCCTTCAGAAACAGTGGACTCAGGACCCACACACCTGGTGAGCTGGGCACAGACTGGCATCAGAGCATGTGGGCATGACCCTCTGATGCTTCTACTTTTGTTCACTGTTGGAAGGTTATGGCATGAGTTGGGGGTGAGCAATCATGGTCTAGATGAGCAGATGTATGGGCAGGACAGGAGAGCGTGGCAGGATGACCAGCGACGCTCCGCACAGACCTGCTGGCAGTCCACACTGACGGATAAAAGTAAGTTTGCCTTCAGCACCCACGAGCATAGAGTATAAAGGAGAAGTGAGAAACTTATGCAGCTAGTAAGGAGAAGGCAAATAAGTGTGCTACTCAATTCAGATGTGACTTGGCAAAGCCCGGGTAATTATTCTGAAAGAACACGCCAGGGATACCTGCAGGCACATTTTGGGAGCATTTGTGTAATTTGTCAACTGAGGTTCTATATGGGTTCTCACTGATAAGACTTGGTGCAAGCTTCTCAGTGAGGACAGAGCTTCAGTTAAATCTTGTTAGTTGGACTGTGAAGGCTCATACGCCAAATATCCCCAAGCCCAGGAGGATGAGATTGTTTATGTGCGGATAACTTCGTCTGGCCACACACGTAAGATAACATAGCACAAACTCCTAGAAAATGTGATGGGGATAACCCCACTCAAAGATGAGCTGAGATCATATGCACAGTACCCAGAGATGAACTTTAGAAAACATGTAGCCTCTATTGCAAGAAAACTACAAAAAGAACTGTTAAAGGACACAAAATAAAGAGTAGTAATTAGAAAACCACAGCTAACTCGAAATACAGCTCGGGTTATTTAAATATATCCATTTATTACCTAACAATCTATGAAGACAATGAGTTTTCAATAATAGAAATATTGATTCCTAATAGTGAAAACTATGAATTAATTCAAACTTCCTTACTCGTCACAGACAACAGTTGGTACCAGTGAACCATGCTAGTCTATATCATGTCCCGGGGGCTCCGCTAGCCGCTTCCTATGATTTCTATAATCCTCAGAACAACACTGTGGCCTGGGAAATTCCAGTATCACTTTGGGGGTGAGGACGCTCACGCACAGAGGAGTGGCTGACTTGCCCAAGGCCAGTAGCTCTAGAGCTGCCCAAGGATGCGCTCTCTTGTTCGTCTCCAGTTCCTGCCAATGACAAAGGCAGAAAGAACTCCACTGGAATGTTCTGGAGGCAGAATTTAGTAAGATGATTTTCAAGCAAAGAAGCAGGCTGGATTTGGAGAATTCTGCATGAGAGAGAAGCCCAGATCTGCAGCAGTGGGTGGAACGGCAGAACTTCCACTGCTCCAGTCAACGGGAGTTGGGAAGATGCTCATTTTCAGGAGTACATACTTTCAGTAGTGAGCCTAGGAGGCCTGAGTTTTGGTAGTTAACTTCTGATGATTTTTAAGAAGAAGTTTTTGTCTTGAAAAATACCTATCTCATGAATAAAAAAACAACTCATTTGAGGCTATAATTTATTTCCCACAGGTTACTTTTTGCCACTAGCCCTTTTAAAACCAATGCTAGAGACAGAGGAGATGAAGAATAAAAGTAATTTAATAACAAGTGAAAAGGATGGAAATAATTTGTACAGCCCAGCACTTATATAGGGCCATTCTATGTCCTTCTACTCAGAGTATCTCCTCTCCAGCTGACCATTTCTCAGATGCCTTTTTACATCAGCCATATCTCACTAGTTTCCATGAGTGTTTAACAGGAAAAATTCAGACAGACGGCCATGGGAACAAAAAGGATCATGGGAACATAAAACTGTCTTAGTCTCAAAGACCCCAGGCTGTGACAGCCTGCCTAAGGCCCGACCCCACAGCAAGTCCACAGGTCACATATAAAGGTCTTGAGGTCCTTCATAGAAACACCTGCCATTTCATCTTGACTTCTCAGTTAGAATGGAAACTTCCAAAAAATAAAAGACTGCCAATCAGAGTGTCATACAAATGTCCATATCAAAGCACTGCAGTAATTACGTTATCACTTAGATTTCCCTATGGGCTATTCAAATTAGCATTGAAGCATTTCCTTAATTTGTTGTACTCACCCAGGACAATGCAGTTCTTACAGTTGTGTTTGTTATTGTATTGCTTGACAACAAATTGTATTTGCTGTCTTGTTGGCACAGATTAAAAATACAGAATTGATTACCCATATTCAATCTGTTGCAAAATTGGCTACAGGAAAATGAAGGATTATTAAGTCACTAGAGAAACCTTATCGGTTAATCAAATTTCCTCTCTGGGTGGCAAACACTCCATTCTCCTTCATTCCTCAGGAGCAGAATCCCAATTTGATTGGATCATCTTTCCTTTCCCTTTGAAACCTGCGGGCTCTGGGCAAAGTCAACCCCCACCCAACCCCTAGCTCAGGGGATGAGCTAACAGTCACCAGACAGAATACAATGGGAACCAAACAAAGCTCTTCATCCTGTTGGCCAGAGGTTGACTCCATAGTGCTCATCAACATTAGCCAGGTTCCAGCTGCATCATCAGCCTGATCCTTCTCTCTCTCTCTCTACCTCTCCCCTCTCTCAGGCACAGTAAGGACAGCTGCTGTTAGCTCTCATCTCAGGAAGAAAGTGGGTCTCAGTGGGTAACACGCCGGCGCCCGCTCCCTGTCTGTTTTCCTGTCGCTGAGTAAACTTTAACACTCACGCCTTGCAGTCCACATGCTCAATGTGTGTGGCCTGAGACAAGAACTCGCTGATCCATGCAACAAAGATACCAGAAGGCCCTGGCCCCCACCTGCCTGAGCCCACCCTGCCTCTCTCATATCTCCTTACCAGAGATGGACGCCTCTTAGTGGGGAAAGCCCGTTTCGTTTGGGGTCTCTGCAGTGAATATCTTGACCCACGCGTGCCGCCTGCAGGTAATTTGTATACTCCATAGAAGCTGAAGACGTTATGTAGTTTCCTTAGGCTCATTCAGGGCTGTCGTTAATCTCTGTCATAAGCCTGTTTGGGTTCCCAGGAACCTCTCTCAGGTACTCACCTCTGAGATCCAGGTCAAGGAGTCAGGTCAGAAGAGGCTACACTGCCCATGTGGAGTCACCAGCACCCCAGTTCCATGGTCTGTTCACCGTCCCTCCCACAGGTGTCTCCGCCCGCCATGTCTGTTCTGCACCTGCTGCTCCTTCTGCTAGTTATTCCTCTGGAGCGCGCTAGGCCCAGGCCTGACATGCTCTCTCCTCCAGAGGCAGGCTCTCATTTGTGTGCAGCCTGTTTCCCTTCTCTGCTAGTAAGGATCTTATGCATTCAGTATCTGAGACAGTATCTGGCTTCTAATATACACCCATTAAATATTAACGAAGTAAATTACAATTCATGCTGTTATCACGTGCCACCTTAAACATGATGCCTGTTTCATTTAGCAGCCGGCTGACTCTCTGATGTCTCCCTCCACCTCCTTCAGATGGAATGACGACTGGCAGTTCCATACCAGACCACCGTGAATTTTTCTCCTGCATCCCATCTAGCTTCCACATCTTCACCCACACCCCATGCTCAGCCACAAAGAACCCCTTTCCATTCAAGAGCTGCGCCCCCCCCAGTCTCGTTGTACAGGACCCCTCTTCCTGTATCATGGGTGACCTCTCTGAAACACACGGCCCCACTCTCCCTCCTCACCCAAGTATAGACTACGACACTCTGCCTTTGCTTTTGCCATGGGTTTCGCAGCTATCTGTCTATAGTCTTGTCTCCTCTGCTGAGGACCTGGAGGTTCTTTAGATCAGCCGCTGGCACCAAGCACTTGACGTACCTGCTGCATTGACATGAATCAAATGACTCACATCATCCCTCCCCCGCAAAGCAAAAGGCAAAAAACAGTTTGGGGTAAAGTCTTACCTGGATCATAGATATAAGACCAATGAAAGCCACTGCGTGCTCACTAGGTTATGGATATTATAACAGTAAAGCAATAGTAGTAAACTGAGGTCTAGAAAATCATGAAGCTAATATAGCTGAATAACTGGAATTCAAGTAGTACTTTTTTGACACTCCAAGGCCTGCTGCATTTCTCCCCAAGTTTTGTGTAAGGAAGGACCCATCACCATGAAAGAAGACACGCTCAATGGTTCGTGGCCAACCTGGAAGAAGCAGCTAATTCACAAACCCACGACCCCCCAGACTGCAGCCGGCAGAGGCAGACAGTGAAGAGACCGGGACTTCTGGCGAGTGGTGACAGCAGGCAGCCCCAGGCCCCAACTGCGTCCTGGCCCAACTCCTTATGAGCAGGGACTCAGTTCTCCTGCCTGAGCTGGCATAAGTGGGTTTTCTGGTTCTCCCAAGTAATCAAAAGAAATCTATAGAAGCCATGATGAGATCTGATAGTCAAGTTCCTTAGGAACAGCCACACACAGATTAAAATGGACCCGATGACGCCACCTACCTTGGGCATGCAGACCAGAAGGTGCCCTGTTGTCTGAGATCTCTTGGCAGAGCTGCTGTCGGGCTTGACTTCTGCAGGGAGGACGAGCTGAAACGGCTGTGGGAAGTGTCACGAGAATGTGCGTTACACGAGAGCCACTCCACAGCGAGGCGCGTGCATTGAGTTACTTTCGTAAAGATGGACCAGCCCACTTAACAGTGTGCTTACACTTAAGAGGGAAAAGAAAGGTGGGCTGTGCTTGAGATGTGTGAACTTTTGTTTACCTCTTTTAACCCACAGTCTAAAGAACAACATCAGTCAGCGAGTGAAGCACATGGTCATATCACTGGGAGGGGTTTATGGACAAAACATCTAGTTATAAAATAGCATCGTTTCCATTTTAGAGCCTTTCAAACTAACACACGAAGTCTTGGAACAAGCAACAACCACTCTTCAAAAACGATGTGAATGAAATCATTGCCAATGTTAAGTGAGGATATTATTTAAGTATATTTCAGCACAGACGATCCTGTACACACGACTAGGATCATCTCCCCAGCTTGGAGGAAACGACTAAAGCAACCGTGTTAATAAAAAGAGCTCATTTTATCAAGGTGATTAGCAGCCATTCTCTTCACTTTATGCCACTCCCAAGGCATAAAATCCTGTGCCAAAAAAAAAACAAAAAACAAAAAACAAAAAACCAAACAAAAAAAAAACACTTTCTGAGTTTTCTTTTTCTACTGTAATGGCATTTTGATTTTAGACACAACCCAGCTTCGCTCTTGAAGTTGTTCGTGCAGGGCCTCACCTTCCCTTTGACCATCACTCGCACGTAAGTTGGCTGCACATCGACCTCGATCAAAGAGGTGTCCAGGTACCTTTAAAAGGAAGACACGATCTTACGACTTTGTAAGACATCACACTATCCCTGCACATTCACACTGATGCGCCTACGCTAAATGAAGACAGCTTAAAATGTCCACGCTAAACAGGTCTTCAAAAGCTAGTCTTAAATGAATCTCCAGACCAAAGGAGATTCAGTATGTCAGCAACTTCATTTTTAGACCCACAAGTACACTTGGCATTGATTGCCCCTAGCCCAGAAATATCTGAAGCCTGAAACATCAGAGGTTTGCAGAAAACTGCTTGCCACGTCCTTTCATGCGTACTTTATTTTAAGCCCCTCAAGCCGACTTGAACAGCCAGCGCTGCTGAATCTACTGAGCTGGCAGCCGCAGCCGCCAGCTCCTGCTTCCTGAGCTGCTCTCCAGCTCCTGCAGCTGTTCTGCAGCGCCCTGATGCCACCTCTTGGGGGGACCCCTTCGCTTCTGCCCTCCCAGGCACATCCTGCAGAACACGCAGAGCTGCCTGGCCGTGGCAGTGACCCGAGTCATTCCCCCCAACTTCGCTAGTGGATAAAAGATGTAGAGGTCACATCACTAACTAAAACAAGAGCTTCAGCCAAATAATTACTTTATAAAGTTGAACATATTGATGAGACACTAGAAAATGCAGTGATGATTCAAAACTCACAGCATTAGGGCAAGTGGTAGAAAACTGGGGCCCAAGGACACTTCATGGCACTGACTGGCCTGGGGCTGACTCCACCCTCCCTGCTTGGTGCCCTTCACCATGTGCCTGAGCTGCTCCAAGCCTCAGCTGCCTCAGCTGGGGATACTCACCTGATGCCCCATAGCTACCCACTCAACTGCTGAGGGCACCCCCAGAAAGACTTGTTCCCAGTGTGACACAGCACCGCTGTGTCTTACAACCATGTCAGGGTCCTCTTAGGACACAGATATTAGGTCATTGTAAAGCCCTGAGAATTATCTAGACTCTGCCGTAGGAGCCGATAGTCCTAAAGCCATGGCCCTGGACTCGTGGGCTTATTTACTTTTTGTTTCATTTTAATACTTGCACTGGTAAAACTTATAGTAAGTTCTGCATCTTAACAAAAAATAAAAGGCAAGTCCATTTGCACTTCAAAATGTTTCAGGACTCACAAGATTACAACAGAGGAGGAAAACAGACTGAAATGTCATTAAATAAATACAAAATGAAAAGTCTTCACCTATAGACAGCAAGGTCCAGGGTGATCTGGTGACGGGTTTCATCATCTTTCAGAGAGAAGTCAAGTCTAAGGAATAATCCATTTGGGGGGGAAAGATATATCTTTAGCAACACTGTAGAGGTAATGCCATCGTATCATCAAAAACAAATCTGATAATCGTTTTATAATGATCTCCAGTGGCAAGCTTATTTTCAGAGCCAACATGTTAATTTGAAAATCTCAGAAGAAACCTACAACACAGTTATACGTTACTTCTGGGTACGTTATTTACATGTGGGGAATGCATACAAAAAGATTTACTTTGGTGCGCAGAGACATCTGGTGGCTAAAGTTTTCTTTTCCATTTCTTTTCAGTTGGCTAGAAGCAAACTAAAACCCTGCGGATGTCCAATGTCCACGGCATAGCATGAGCCGTGCCGCTCCCCGGCCCGCCCCCGCCCCAGGCTCCTGTGTCTGCGCTGTGAGCCTCGCAGCGGCCCTCCATTCCTGCCACCCTCCTCACCTCCTCTCACTGCCGACCTAGACTCGGTCTGCGGCTGTGGAGACACTGCCTGGATCTGGCACCTCCACTGTATCCACTTTATAAGGAGGCCCGAGGCTCGGAGGGGCTGAGCAGCTGTGGAAACAGCCCTCCCGCCCACAGAGGGCAGTCCCGAGGCCTAACAGGAGGCTTAGGCCCACCTTGCAGCCTGCACACACGACCGTGCTGCTGGGAACGCTGGCTTGAGTCTACTCTGAACTCTTCTGCAAAGGACACAGAATACTCGGGAACGTCAACGACCATGCTTGGAAAGGTGTAAAACGAGCTGTACATCTGCCGTCGGCGGTCTGTCTGTCTGTGGCAGCCACTCTCAACAAGCCAGCCAGGTGGGGCTTTGCTCAAGGCCCTGTTTGCTTCTGAGCTCAACTCGGCACACGTTTGCGCTGTTCCTGCCTCAACTGCTTATTCCCCAATTTCCCAGCCAGCTAACTGAAATTCTCCCTACCTGTGACTTGAATTGCCACGGCTATTTGTTCCTCTCAATCTACTCCCATAGTCACAGGCCCCTGTGCTATGCAGAACGAAGACTACATCTCCCAGCCTTCTTTGCCTTTAGAAGAGGTCACGTGAGTTAGTCTGTGAAGGCAAGTGTGGTGCGGTGCCTTCATTTAGTCCTTAAAATTCTCTCAAGGAATTTCCCTCAGGAGAGGGTGGATGTGTCCTTTCCTCCCTCTTCCTTTAGTGGGGAAGAGGAGATTACGGGAAGTCAAGAGATGACCAGGGAGACCAGTTAGCAAGTTACTGACATTGTGCTGGAAAAAAAATAAATAAATAAAATAAAAAAATAAAAAAATCGGTAATTTACTCTAAGGTGGTGATGGAGTTAGCAAGGAGTGGGTTGATTTCCGGAATACAATCTGGTTATGCTGAAGGACAAAACCCCAGGCCTCATTAAGAAAAATATGAGTGAGGCCCTCTCTGGTGGTGTGACAGCTTAGGATGCAGCACTACAAGCTGGCCGCAGCTGCATCAGTGCAAGTTCAATCCCTGGCCCTGGAGGTGACCCACAAGGTGCAGCAGACCTCTCCTGTCTTGCCCACTGCTCCCCTCAGCAGTGTACTTTGTCGATCTGCCTGTCCTGCTCACCGCTCTATCTCTGGTGAAGCCTCTCACTGCTCCTGCACCTCTTGCCTGTATCCCAGCTCTGTATGCATAAATAAATAAATCTTTTTTAAAAAAAGATTTGGTAAAAAAAAATAATAAAAAGTATATATATGAGTGAGACAAAAATCAAGATGTCTCCAAAGCGTTTGGTTTTAATAGATGAGGGGCTGTTCTTCACTGAGAGGGGGAAGGCTGGGACAAGCATGTCGTGGTGATATGGCAGTGGGGATGGAAATTAGGATCCATATTTTAATTGTAAAAAGTATCTGAGGCCTATTTTATACTCCACACCACGACGTCAGATAAGTTGAATATACAAGCCTTGAGCTCAAGGAGGAGCTTGGGTTGGGCTGGAGTAATGTAAAGAGAGCATTTAAAGCCTAAGATCCTTTGAGATTTCTGAAGAGTGAATGTAAAAAGTGAAGACTTCTGTGGATGTTGCCTCAGAGGACACAGGAGACTAAGTGACAGACAAAAAAGATCCGGAAAAGCATACAATAAGCAGAGCAGGTAAGAAGATCAAAGAAATGGAAACAAAGGGAAGAAACTACCTCAGGAAGGAAGGTAATGACTGACTTGGTCAGGTCTTCTAGGTCGAGGAGACAGATCTTCTAGGTTGAGATTTGAAACGATGTGACCGAAAATAGAAGTGATATGAACATACACTATAAAAATGAGGGGGTTAAAGTTTCCAAATACTGTAATCCCTAGAAGGGGGCCTGCCGGAGGAGGTGTGGGGGAGGGGCCGATGGCTGAGGAGAGTGGTGAGAGCCATGAGAACCTTGGCTCTGATGAGGAGGCGCAGAAGTAGGGCTGTCACTGGAAAGAAAGCTGGGGGAGGGGGGGTTTCTTGAGTTTATTTTCTTTTAAATGGAAGGTACTACATTTTATGCTGGTGAGATTGGTCCAGTAGAAGGAGAGGAACTGATACAGAAGAAAGGATGATTCCGAAAGCCAAGTCCTTGATAGGAAAGGGGTCGAGAGCCATATACCATTTGAGACAGTTGGCTCTGGAGAGCAGGTTCACCCACAGTAGCAACTGCTCTATAGTGAAAATAGTTTGGAGATGATGAGAAGACCTCCAATTGCTTGCTTTCTCAGTGGAATAAGAAACAAGGTCTTCCCTTAAGACTGAAAGCATAAGGGGGTGCAGGGAAGGGAACAGACATAGCCCCAGAAAACAGTACGATTACCCACTTGAAGAGCTGGGGCTATAGATTTACAGTCATGCCAACAAGGAGAGTGGGATGTTCCCCTCTAGCTGTGTATGAAGGCAAGTCCAGGTGTAGATGGCAGGTTAGATTTAAGCGGGTTAGGGATTCGTGAGGTGAGGCTGAGGGAAGAAAGGACAAAGTGCCAAGGACTGATTTCTGCGATGAACCACAAAACCAAAGCAGGCGACAGAGGTGAGAACACACAGGACGGACGGTAAGAACAATAGTTGACTGAACTGTTGGTCTACATTCATGGCCTAAAGGGGAGCATGTTGCCAGCAGGAGGGAGCCCTTTGGGAGTGCAGGTGATGGTGCACACGAGACATTCGGAAGGAAAATTCTGGAGGGAAAAGAGGTTTTGATGCTAACAAATCTAAGGATAACAGAGAATCGTGCAATTGGGATGGATGAGGCAAGAGACATCTGGAAGTGAGGTGTAGAGAGCAGGAAGGCCAGCGCTTTGAAGGGCTGTGAGCAAGATGGAGTCACAGATTGAAGATGGCAGGACAGATAGAGGCAGGCATTGGTGGGTGTTCAGCTCTTCAGCTGATTGAAGGTAGTGTGGGTGGAGGGTTGATCAAGAAGCAAGTAGCTGATCACAATAAGGAGGTGCAGGGTGGGATCTATCTAAATGGCCTGTGCTCCAACTGAGCAGGGATGTCTTAGGGAAGGAGGACAAGATGGTGTGAAGGTCACTGAGAGGTCTGACTTTGCCTGTGGAGTATCTGGTTGAAAAAAAGTAACACCGGAAGCCCCGCTGTTGGCTGAAGAGAGTTGATCTTCCCACTAGATTTCTAACCTCCATGAAGGCAGATGCTGTTGTAGGTTCTGCTGCCTCTCCAGTGCCTGAGGCAGGTTCTGTGCACACTCACACATGCTGGAGGTGTCTGAGTGTGGGAAGGTTACAAACTTGGTTATGGAAATCACTAGATTTGGGTAACAGTGAGAATCAGACCATGTGACCTTGGGCAAGTCACTCCACCTCAGGCTCAAGTTCTGGACCCCAGCAAGGAAAGCCTGTCACCTGAGGCTAGGAGTAAAGTGAACTCGAGGAACAGGGACTGACTCACCACCACGCCCTCGGAAACACACAGTGCATGAGGGGCTGAGTATTAGGCTCTGAGTAGTGAAATGAAGCCAGCAAGATTTATTCCAAAGGCTGCCATTTTGGTAGTTGGCTTTTCTGGCCTTTTTACGCCTGATTTCAACTTTTAAATGTCAACACAGTTAAATGAAATAGGTCACATAGGATATTTTCCCTCTCTTATTAACCTTATGGAGGTATTCGTATCCTTTTCTTTTTCTGAGTATTTGAAAGCTTATAGATGTGTTTCAGAAGAGAAAGCAAATACACTGGAGAGAGACCAGTATTCCCAGACATCCTCTCTGTGGCACAGTTTAAAAATTAAGAAGCACAACAACAGTCACTGGCAATTATCAGACATGAACTCGTGTGTGGTCCAATGTTTCAGGGAATATATGAATAGCAAGGAATTTCCACAGGTCAAGATCATTTTCTGCATGCCAAGAACATGACATCAAACTCTATGCACTTAAAACACATTAGATGTTTCGCTTTCAGATTTGCACAAAATGATATGAGACTTGACAGGCTGGTTAAGGCAGCCAGGTGTGCTCAGCAGCTACACTGCAATGGAAGCCTTCACCTCCATACCACCATGGAAACCGTCACCTCACACCACCATGGAAACCGTCACCTCCACCACCATGGAAACCGTCACCTC